TTCCCTCTCTCTTACTCTGTCCCTCTCTGGTCAAATAAAAATAAATAAATAAATAAATAAATAAAAATAAAGTTAAATAAAATAATTCTTTTTTAAGAATAATTTAATTTTACTTATTTATTCATTCATTAATTTATTTTTATTCATTTATTGTAATATGACCAGAGAGAGACACAGAGAGAGAGACAGGAAGTGAGAAAGCAAGTCACCATGGTCAGCCATGTGGGAGCATCCAGCACCTTAATTTGATTTATTCATTAATTTAATTTGGCCAGAGAGAGACACAGAGAAAGAGAAAGAGGGAAAGTGAGAAAGGAAGCCACCAGGTCCGGGACTCGAACTGTGGTCGGCCATGTGGGAGTGTCCAGTACCCCAACCACCACGCCACCTGCTGGTCCCAGTAAAATAATTCTTAAAAATTTTTTACTTAATTTTGTTATTTTTTAAAAAGAATAATTTACTTAATATTACTATTTATTTAACTTGCTATAGGGCATGTGTGCTCATCAAGAGAGAACAAAAATGAAAAAGCAAGCTGCCAGGTCTAGGACTCAAATGATGGTCAACCATATGGGAGTCTACTGTCTTTAATCACTACACCCACCTGCTAACCTGTTATTATTTTTTAATTTGACCAGGGAGAGAAATAGAAATTGCAAAGGCAAGCCACCCAGGTCTGGGACTCAAACTACGGTCAGCCATGTGGGAGTCCAGCCTCCTAATCACCATGCCACCTGCTGGTGACTGTTTTTAAATAATTATTTTATTTAACTTTATTATTTACTTATTTTAATTTGACCAGAGAGACAGAATGAGGGAGAAAGGAGGCAGAGGAGTGAGAAAGCAAACCACCAGGTCTGGGACTCAAACTGCAGTCAGCAGTGGTGGAAAACAGTGCCTTTAACCACCGTGACACTTGCTGGCCCCACTAACATGGTAATTTTCACAAGCAGTTTTGCCTACCACATTTTGCCTTCTGAGAATGTGTTTTGGACACGATGAAGACAGTGGCCAGTGGCAGCTCTTCCTTAGGCTGTGCTGAGCACATTTCCCCTTTGTTAACAATCCTATGGGGTGGGGGCCAGCAGGTGGCATGGTGGTGAAGGCACTGGATTCCCACATGGCTGACCGCAGTTAAGAGTCCCTGACCTGGGGGCTTGAAACATGCTGGGCATGTGCGCATGCCCCAAATCCCAAAATAGAGAAAGAATTGTGGCATGGCCATCTCTCCTATGGGGTTTCTCACTTTCCTTTTCACTGTTTATTTCTCTGACAAGTGCACAAAAAACCTTGAACAAAAAGAAATCCTATGGGGACGGGACCAGCAGTTAGAGTAATGGCTATGTCGCTGGACTCCCATGTAGTCGACCGCGGTTTGAGTCCCAGACCCGGCGGCTTAAACTCACGCTGGGCACATGTGCGTGTGTGCCCAAGATCCTGAGAGAATGGAGAAGGGACTGTGGCGTGGCCATCCCCTGTCTCTCTTTCTTGTGAGCGCGCACGCCGTATAGCAAAATCCCTCCCCCCCCCAAAAAAAAAAAGAAATCCTATGGGGTTAACTATTCGGCACATGGGGACACCAAGGCTCATAGAGAGGCATGGGAACTGACTTGTCCAAGCTCACAGAACTAGTGTGTGCAGAAGCTGGGGTTTAAACCCTCTTGTTATAAGATTTTTGCTATTTCTTCTACACTTAGTTTTTTTTTTTAAACAATTATTTTACTTTATTCATCATTATTATTTGTTTAAAGTTGGTCAGAGAGAGGAAGTGAGAAAGCAAGCTGCCAGATCTGGGACTCGAACCGTGGTTGACCATATAGGAGTGCAGCACCTTAACCACCATAATACCTGCTGGCCCATATCCTGGGCTTCAATATTATCTTGTGTTCAGAGAAAACCTTTCCAAAAAGTGTGCTCCATTGGCTGGTTCTAAACGGCACCTGAACCTTTTTTTTTTTTTTTTTTAAATACAGGGTAAGTCTCACCGTGTCATAATCCTCCTGCCTCAACCTCAGCTGGGACTGCAGGCACGTGTGACTGGGGCCAGCTTTTTCACACAGGGTCTCACTGTTGCCCAGGTCAGCCTTGAGCCTGTGATTCTCTCCTCAGCTTCTGACACTGAGATTATAAGCACACGCCACCATGCCCAGCCTTTAAGTAGGACGCTAAATTGAACCCAGGCCTCCCGTGTGGTCCCAGCCCCTAGGGGATGGCATCTTAGGAGTGCAGCACTGCAACTGCACACACGAAGCTCTCAGGCCTTCTGGTCACCTGGACTGTGCAACAGGTAAGTGAGTTCTGTGTGTCCAAGTCTGACCCACGCTCTGAGAATCCCAGTAACCACGGCCTTTCTTCTGCCCATCCCTGTGAATATGCCTGCCATGACAGTCCACTAACTCATCTAACTGGGTGTTAAGGTCAAGATGGCCTGCCTGACCGGACATGGGCAAACCAGAGATTAGAAACATTTCAACCAACTGGTTTCTGGTCTGACCTCAGGTTTCCCTGTGGGGATCCCACACACACCCAGTGGAGAAAGCCAAGGATGCTTCCATCTTCTGGCCCTTGCAGCAGCTTTGACAGTTGACCACTCTCTCCTTAAACACTCAGGAGTCACAACACCCTACTCGCCTGGTTCTCCTGTCTTCTGGGTCCCTGCCCAAACCTCACAAGTGGGTTTTTTCTTAGCTCTGTCCTTGTTCTTGAGTCTTCTTCCAGAGGTGGCAAAATGGCGGCCTGGTGGTCTCATTAGGCCCACAAGCAGATTTTGTTTGGTCCTCACAGTGTTTTGTTTTTAATTTGAATGCCATTAGGCGGGGCAAGCACTCTCCAAGTTCTCCACAGTCCCCATGATTCCCTATTGTCTTATACCTGTCCGCTTCACACATTTCTGTCACCTGCCTGGTCCCTGAAGCCATCTGAGTTTTCAAAGTCCCCGGCTGCACAGGCTGCCTGGGAAATCTCAGCATTGTCACTTCAACTACCACCTGTGTCTTCTAGTCCACAGAGAATTTCAGATGTATGAGAATCACCTAGGGAGTTTACTTGAAATGCAGATTCCCAGCCCCTCCCTCCCCCACATCTGCTTCAACTGTTTCGGGCAGGATGGGAAACTCAAATGCCTACAGGGGCCAGGCGGGTCACATAAATGAGTGAACTAGCCAGGTATAAGAAAAGTCCACGGCCAGAAATATAATCAAATCGTATCTTTACTGAACTCTGGTGAATGCATGGAACATAATACAAACAGGTAGGATACTGGAGTTTATATTTTAAATTCAAAATTGAAAAAATACAAATTGAAAAATAGAAATATTTAATTATTAAAACTTTCTCTTTCATAATTCTTTTGCTCCTTTGAGCTGAAGGTGGAAGGCTGACACCTTCCCTTCCGCACCAAGATGTTAACACCAGGCCTTGGATGGCAGGTGGGATGGGCAGTTTAGAATTCAACCTCGAATCCTTAAACTGGGAGCGGTATTAATTTGATTCAAGTCCATAACGGAAAACAGCTGTTCACGAGCATGGATCCTTCCCAACACAGAGGTTCAGGACCACTACAGGAGACAGCTGTCGAATCTTGCAGTCTTCAAAAAGAATTGTACTTAGGAGCCAGGGCCCTACTGCACGCTAGCTCAGGATCTGCTCTTTGGGGTCTGCAGTCACACGGCTGACGGTAGCCAACAACGGCACACTGGACAGTGTTAGTTCACTTTCCTAGTCTAGATGCAGAGAGCCTTTGGAGGAATCTGGTATTCGACCTGGCCATTTGGGTGGATATAGTCCGGGCCGCCTTTTTTGTTTCTGGAAACCAACTGCAGCAAAGGAAAGTCAAGATTATTCCTTGCCAATGGCTTCCTATTTTTGCCAGGACTGGGCAGATAGGATTATACATTCAAGTAGCTGTGAACACCCTCGTGGAGACATATTCAGTGTTCAGAAGGGTTATTGTAACCTGGACCAGAAGTCTCTGACTGACCGCCAGGGGAACCGAGGTGTGGCTTTTACTGGATTTGAAATGAACCGAATTGGTTCACTCCAACAGTTCGAGTTTCTTCCATAAGCAGGTCCCAGAACTGGGAAATACGTTGGGTCAAGACACCATCAGCCCGCCTGTGGTTAAAGCACAGCATAAATATCGAGGTGTCCACGGCATGTCCTGTTTAATCTCACAGAACAAGGGTCACTGAGGTGATGACCTCATTTGTGTGTTGTTACCAAATGTTGTCACCTTAGATAAGGTGTCCTGACATGTTCCCCTATGTCAGAGTCTCAGAGATCCACAACTGTCTGCAGTTGTGCTTAAGAATTCTGATGGGTCTCTGTGACACTTTGCATTTCTTTAAATACACAAGTCAGTCATTTCCCAGCGTTGGGCCTGCCTTGGCACCGCATCACAGACGTCTTCGGTCACATCGAAACTCTCAACACCACAAATAAATAAAGCTAACTGGGTGGTAAGTTTATGAGCAGCGATACAAAAGGCCACAACTGATTGGACTCTTGCAAGCAACTGGACTCGGAAATCCTTGGACGTATCTTCAACTCACTGTGCGACACCAATGCCTGTCAGACTGGAATCGGCCTGCACGGCTGTCTGCCCAAGATGCCTCTGTTCTGCACCTTTAGAAGCATGTCATCTGCTGCAGGTTTTAATGCCCAAGAAATTCATTCACGTGACTGCGGAACCACGTACCACAGCCGGGCCACTTCCACTGCTCACATGCCAAAGCAACCCTTACTGACATTTGAGTCCCTTTTTCAGTTCACTGAGGATCGCGTCTCGAGTTTGTTCCGTGTACTGGTCGTAGTTCTTACTGTGCTTGGACTCATAGTGACGTTTCAGGTTGTATTCTTTCAGCACAGACACGATCTTTTTGCATATTAAACACGTAGGCATGCTCTTCACTTCCACAAAGAAATAGGCTCGCTCCCATTTTTCTCGAAACACGCGGCCCTCTTGTTCTCTCTTTCGTTTTGCCACTTTTGATAGAGACATGGGTACAAGAAAGATTTCACTTTCCTCTGAATGCTACCACAGCAACAACCACAGTGCAAGCCCAGTGACAAAGGCAGCAACCCTCTGCCTCTCAGTGGGGGAGCCAAGAGGGAGTGGTGGGGACTGTGGTGAACCGGAGAGCACACGCCCCATTGAAAGGGGCAGCTCCAGGCCGTCATTGCCAGGCAGAAGGGTGGGACCAGGGGTGCCAGATCTTCTGACTTTTCAAGGGAAGCCAAGAGTGCAGATCATGTGTGTGTGTCTGTGTGTGTGTCTGTGTGTATGAGAGAGAGAGAGAATCATCCTGATTTTTATAACTAACTTGGAGAGAAAAATGCCACATATATTAACACAGAGAAGGCCAAACAAAACTCATCCATAAAGTGGCCCACGTGCCAATAGATTGCAACCTCTCAGTGCAGGTCCCACAAATCCTCAGGGTAACCAATGTCCCCCATGGCGTGGATGCTGGTGGTCCAGGCACAGACCACACTCTTGAGCAACACTGATCTAGTCTGACAACAGCCAACTAACTCCACCTCTAGGAGACTGCCCTGCACTCCAGATCAGTCGCACCCAGCTGCCTCCTGGACATCTCTGAGGAAATCCTGCAGGTCCCTCACCTCATCGCATCCCAAACCTGGTCCCTGCCGGGCCTTCCACTCAGGATGGCCTTACCATTCATTTGCTGAAAGTTCCACGTCTCTGACTAGGACCTAGGACAGATCCTGTCTCCAAGAGTGAAGTCAGCTGCCCTGTGGCTTCAACCAACCAAACACATGCTGTCCCCTAAGGACACATCCTGAGCTCCCCAAGGCACCTGTCACCTGGACAGCTCCTTTCCCTAGGGGCTCCCACTACCTACCCTCACCCAGGCCTGGCTTTGGGGGCCGACCTCGACTCAACCCACCTTCTGCAACTTCCTTCCTACAGCTGCAGTCTCCAGCTTCACTCATTCTCCTGCCCTGAATCATCACAATCAGCCCAGAGGGGTCTGTACCTTGAGCTGGCCCAGGCCTGCCCCTGCTTGCAGCCTCCATGGTTCTCATGTCCACAGGACACAACTCAAGCTGCTTAGTTTAGAACCCAAGTCCCCCGTCCTTGTGCTCACCCTCCAGAGCATCCATCCAGTAGCTCCCCTGCATACCCAGGCTCTCCCCTGCCTCTGAGCATTCATGCCTGCTGTCTCCTGCAGGGCCCTGCATCTGTCCCTCCCAGTCTCACTGGTGGCCTCTTTTCTTTCGAGACTCTGTGGCCCCGGCTGGGTCACATGCCCCTTTTGGGCTAGCAGTGCCCTGCTCCCCCCAGGAGTACCTAGTCCTAAGCAGTGCCTATCTTGCCTGCCTCTGTGTCTCCCCTCGAACCAGGCTGCCTCAACTCACTGCCAAGGCCCCAGCATTACTCAGCCCAGGGCCTCAGGGTGTCTGGTGAATCAAGAACAAGAACAGAGATGACTCCCCGGGTCTCCTCTGCCCATGCTGGGGGACGTCAGTGACGGGAGCCGGGGCGTGTGTTAAAAGGAACTTTATTGGGTGTCGGGGGTTCAGATGAGATCCATGAGGATGTCGTCCTCCATGACGCTGGGCTGCAGGCCCGGCTGGGGGACCGGGCCCCGGGGCCCCCCGCTCAGCAGCATCTGACCTGGGGGGTAGTGGGGAAGGGACTGCATCTCCCAGTAGTCCCTGGGGCCCTGGAGGGCCCTGGACCTGCTTCCTCCCTCCTGTTCTGGAAGCCCCAGTAATCTGGGTTCAAGGGAGCCCTAGGGGACCCACTGGAGGCACCTTGTGACCCCCACCTGGCTGCAAATACTCCATTTCCCCTTGGGACCCCTCCCCCAGACAACTTCTCTGACCCCAAGACCATGTTTCCCAGCAACTCCACACAGGAGGGAATCATGAGAAGAGCTATTGCCCCCACAGGTCCTTGGTCCCATAGGCTGTATTTCCCAGAAGTCCTCAGAGCCCCCCAAGGGCCATGAGAGACCCCTAGTTCTTGGGTATCAAGACTTCACTTCCCAAGAACCCGTGGTCTTGGTGCTCTGGCCCAGGGGCTGCAGGGACACGCAGTCCAGACCCTGTCCTCCCCCAGCCCTTACCTGGCAGTGGAGCCCGCGGGGGAAGCTGTGCAGGCCAGGACTGGGCGGGCGGTGGGTGCAGGAGGGGCGGCCCCAGCTGCGGTTGCCCCAGGCCCTGGTGCGGTGGGGGCAGCAACGCAGGGGCCCCCGGGGGCTGCAGGTGGTGGAGGGGAGCCTGGGGTGGGGGCACCCCGGTCTGGGGCTGGGGGAACACAGACAGTGGCTCAGAGGCCTCCAGTGGAGGCCCAGTGCCAACCCCTCCGACCTTCTGCCACAGACACTGCATAAAGCATGTCTCCACCAGTGCTTTGGGGAGGGCTTTCTTTGGGGACATCTCAGCAGAAGCCCACTGTCCACGTGAAACAGGGAGCAGGGATCTGCCTGGGCCCTTGGTGGTCTCCATTCACACCCACTGGCCAAAGCCGATGCCCTCCTCCCGAACCAAGGAGCAGAACAGTCAGGGCCAGGACCTAGGATCCGAGCTTGTCTTCCCCACCCCCAGTCTCACCGGTGGTGGGTTGAGGAGAAGGCTTCGCAGCTGGGGGTTGGCTCCAGGGTTCTGGGGACGAAGGATAGGTCCGGGAGGGGGTGGGCCGGAGGCCGAACCAGGAGGGCCTTGGGGACCTGGGGGAGCCTGGGCAGTGCCTTGGGGCTGGGGCTGCCCTGTGGCTCCAGAGGCCCCCACAGTGCCCTGAGGCTGGGGTTGTGGAGGGCGGAGCTGGAGCTGGTGGAGAGAGAGACAGGGTGAGAGGGCGGGGCAGAAACCCCAGTGCCCTCTGGCCCCCTGCCACGTCCAGTCCCTATCCCCACAAACCCTGTCCTCACCAGGTTCTGTGAGGGCCTTGCTTGGTCCTCCAAGATGGGACCCAGCCCTGGAGGTGCCTGCTGTGCCCCCATCTGCACACAGAAAGAGGGTGGCTCAGGGTGGGGATGTGGGAGTAAGCCTGAATCCAAGGCAGGAGAGGCTGGGAACATTTTTCTGGGGAAAGTCCTCTGAGAGGTACATCTTACACCCCAGGTCCCTGAGAGGGGGCTGTGTGGAGGGACCTCACGTGGACACCAAAAAGGGGAGACATGACTCGTGCAAACACGGCACAGGATGAACCCAGGGTACCCTCAGCTCAGTCAACCTGTCTGGTACTAAGAGACCCAGGAGGGCCGCTGAGGCCAGCCCCGGGCTCTAGGGGCATGTCTCCTGGAGAAGAGGGCCAGATGGGGGTGCGTGGCTCACCCCTCGCTGCTGCTCCAGCTTCTGCTGCTGGACCTGCTTGTGGTTGGTGATGACCTGCCGGATGCCATTGACGAAGCCACTCTGGTCGTAGGGGATGAGGCCCATGAAGATCTTCTTCTTGGACGAGTACAGGAGCATGAGCACACGCACCTCGCAGGGGGCCGTGTGGGGGAAGTGCACGCAACCCGCCTGCAGGACAGAAGCTCTTCAGACCTCTTAGGCTCCAGAAGTAGTGGCACTCCCATCCCCAGTACTCTAGACACTTCTAGAGTCCTGCAGACGAGTGGTGGTGAGGTTTGCCTGAGGCTCCTCCAGAGACAGATACCCAGCGGCTTAGAGGAAGTGGAGTGCCCAGTGGGACAGGGCCCTGTGCATTCCTGACTGCTGAGGGTGAGTGGGAAGATCCCCACCCTCACCAGAACCCCCAATGCCACCTCACGGCACATTGCCCGGGCTGTTAACACTGCCTCCTCAGAGGGCCACTGGGAGGGGCCGTGGCAGGGCATGAGGGGCTTAGGCAGTGTGGCACCCCATTGTACTAGATCGAGGGTGGAAGAGAATCCAGGGAATCCAAGCGATCCTGAGCAGGTGGACAGATGCCCCACAGCCTCAGTGCAAACCTGGGTTGAGGAACCAGCAGTACAAGATGCTGTGACCGTCTAAGCCGGCCACAGGTCTTCGAGTGGAGGCGCTAACATGTG